AGTTAAACTAAAATACCAGCAGATTTTTTTTCCTCTACTTGCATACTTACATTCTGCTTGAGGTTACAGATGTAGTTTACAATTGCCTTGGTTTAGCCCCTTGAACTTGTATAATACATGTTGGGGTGAAATGCTGTGTTTTGTAAGGAAGTAGTGAGATGAATTCACTTGTCCATTTGAAATTTATAGGGTAGTATTTCTCAATTCTGCATTTTCAGCATTTGGGGAGCACAATTGTGGCGGCAGGTAGATGGGGCAGGGCACCAGTATAGTGCTGGTGTGCATCAGGAGTTCAAAAAAATCTGTGGTCTCTTTGGGTGACTTCTGCCATTATTTCACCCCCCTCTGACTTCCTAATGTGTATATTGCTGAGCATTTGTAATTTGGGCTTAAACTGTGGAGAATTCCAGCTGAATGTGTGATGCCCACGCATGGTGTCAGTCACACTGGTGTTGTGTGGGATGTGGCCTTCTCCTGAGCTTGCTTGGTTGGATACAAGCAGTAAAGCTGGGGGACATGGCTTGGTTCCCTGACCTACCCACAGCCTCTGGTATGGCTCGAGCGCTGGTACTTCTGGCAGCACTTGAGCGAGCTGCATGGAAGTTAATTCAGGAATATGCACTCTCATTGAACTCTGACCTGAAGTTCAGCACTCTGGTGGAGTCTGAAAATCCACACTTCTTATTTAATTAAAGCCATCTCATTTAACATTAGAAATGCTGGATGTGCACTGGGGTGGACATCCAGATGTGGCAAGCTGGTGTTTTTATTGGAGAAAACTCTTAAGGATGAGGAATAAGAACTGCAAAGGGTCTTTTTGAGTAAATACTGTCACCTGAAGCTCACGTACAAAAATCTGTGCTTTCATATTTAACCAACATTAAAAAAGTTATTAACAAGTGGTTTGTTGATGTGAGAGTTCTCAAATCTGTAGATCCTATCATGGATAAATCTTCTGTAGTTAAAAGTAGATCTGTGTTTTCCGGTACGTGCTTCTGTCTGGTGAGACTGTGCCTGTACCCTCCAGTGTGGACGAGCTGCCGGATGGGGAGCAGCAGGGCTTTCACCTGGTATAGCCAGTGCGTGCAGCAGTGTGGCAGAGGCTGCTCAGTGTGGGATCTGAAAACGTCCTAGAAAATCCTCTGGCTTCCTGCTCCTGGGGGCAGGGTGGTGTGAAAGAGACAAAACATGCTGTTCTAAAAATAACTGGTGTTGGAGGCTGATGAACATAACTGCTTGACATACGGTTATTTCTATTTGGACATACTCTATCTGTTCCCTTGGCAATTACCCATTTTGTAACAGCAAATACAATTTGGCATGTTTATATGCCTGGTACGTTTTAAAATGTGTATGTCTAATATGTTTTGAAAGGGCAATTTAGCATTGCTTGTCAAAACTCGAGTTCCTTTTCAGAAAAATTCTGATTAATTACATGTACTAGAGGATAAAAATCCTATTCTGCTGGGTTTGGGCTCCTCTAATGTTTTGGGACCACAATTGGTGATTAGGATTTAGCTAAATCAAGTTGTCTTTCAAAAAAAATGGTGACAGTCTGTTGGCAAATTTTTGCAGCAAGTTAAAGCTATTTTCCATATATCTGAAAACAGACTTAAAAGCACGGTACAGCTGTTCATGTGGCTTTACTTGTACAAACTGATTTGACTTTAAAGGTGAGCTGCCTTTGCTTTGCACAGATCTGCTGTTGTGCCTGTAGTTTTATTTCCCAGAACATTTAAGATGACTTTTTTAGTTTGCGTAGACATGCATCAGTGATTCCATTTGCTTTATACTTACCACGTATTTTTCTAATTTTGTCACTTTTAGCTCTGGGTTTCAGTTAAGAAGAATAGTATCTTTGCATCCAGTTTGAGAAAGCAGCTGTGTATCCTGCAGCTTACCTAGGTAGGCTTTGATTCCTTCAAGGTAGTGTAAAAGCTGTCATTTTAAGCCTAACAATACAGTATGTGAAGAGGTCCGCCCTGCTTTGCTCACTTACCAAAGTTTCTTACAGCTAGACACCATGATCTGGACTCAGTGTTTCTGTTATACCTCAAGGTGCGGGTGAAGCCCGTGCATCCACCCAGCTGCCACCACCCTCTAAAGGTACACGCGGTTGGCACAGGAGGGCACTGCATGCTTACCAGCTTTTTGTGCAGTACAGGCTTCCTTGTTTTACCCTACGAATTTAGTGGCAGCACAGGGGGAAAATGAGGAGTGGAGGATCATATGAAATACTGTCTTGAGTAGTTCTTGCATCGTCCAGTAATGTTTTGGGCTCAAAAAAAATCACGAATTTGTAAACATGTAATGACCTGTGATTATTGATGCTGTATGTATTTATTACACCAAGCATCTACTGGAGTGGATTCCAAACACTGGAAATGCTTGGATGCTGTCCTTACCTAAAGTAGTTTGAGTAGAGCAAGGTGTTCTTTGTTTCACAGCTGAGATCTTGAAAGACAGGTGTTTGAAAATAAGGGAAGAAACATAATTTGCATGCTAAAATGATGAACTGCAACATTTTTGGTAAGCTCAAGAAAAACAACATGATTTCAGAAGAAATAAGACCAAAGAAATATGTGGTTAATGAGGAAGCAAGCCAAAGCACAGTGTAAAAAGTGACGTTTTGAGAAAGGCAATGGTAAACAAACAAATAATCTTGAAAATAATAGAGATGGAAGCACCAGAGAACATGTTGTAAAGAGACTCAATGTATTTAGTTTAACAGCAGGTGAAGGAATAATTTGGTCTTCGCTTAGTATTTCTGTGGAGACCGGGAAATAGAGACTAGAAGTCTCATCAGTTTAACAGAGAATTGTATGTGAAGATCTAACGGCTAGAAACTGCAGGAAGGCCAGCTTTAATTGGGGGGAAAATGCTAAGTGTTATGTACACCATTGGCTTTCTGGAATAGCTTCCCGGTGTGTTGCAGAAGATGCCTCAGTATGGCAGACCTTCAGTCAGGATGCTGCGCTGCTGCCAA